AAAAAAAAAAAAAAAAAAAAGGCTCAAAGGACAGGGTTAGGGGAGCTTCCAGAAAGCTGAACATGTGGAGGCTGACAGGGAGGTGAACAAGAACTCATCCTCATGCTAGGAGGGTGGCACACCTCCACCGAGACACATGCTCCTGTGCCTGGGACCCTTCCAGAACTTGCCCTGTGTATCTCTTCATCTGGTTAAACAACATTTGTATCCTTTAAAATATCCTTTATTATAAACCGGTAAACCGTGTTTCCCTGAGTTGTGTGGGCTGCTCTAACAAAAAGGTGGTTGTGGGAACCCCTACTTGAAGCCGTCGGGCAGAAGTTCCAGAGGCCTGGCCACGTGACTGATGTCTGCAGATGTGGCCACTCTTGGGGACTGAGCCCTCACCCTGTAACATGTGATGCTATCTCCCAGTAGATAGTGTTGGGAATTGAATTGGAGGTCACCCAGCTGGTGCCCGCTGCAGAATTGCTTGCTTGCTGGTGGGGAAAATCCCCACATATTTTAGGTCAGAGAAGTCTTCTGTGTAGATTGTTGTTTTGCAAGAACAAAGAAAAACACGGTGTGGGTTTTTTCTTAAACACAGAGTTTTCAGCTTACTAACTAGTATTCCCACCCCAAGAATTTTTCAATCCTTCTCTCACCTTCCATTCCCTGTGGCAGAAATCTATATTCCATTATCTGCTAACGTGACAATCACTTCCTTATATTCTTTCTTCATATTCAGCTTGTGAAGCCACAACCCTTTTTAAACTCTTCACTCAACTTCACACTTCACCAGAGCAGTTAAACATGGCTGGAGAAAAACACGATCGCACAGGCTGGTTTTCTATCCGTTATAGAATAGACGCACAGAGGAGAAAAACTCTCCATCCTCCCGATACCGATTATACCAGCCCGCCCTCTGCAGCTATATATTCTGCCTGCCTTAAAGCACCACCTCCTCCCCCCGTTCTAGCGACTGCACATTTCTTGGCTTCTCAGCCATCACGTAACTTTATTTTTCAGCATCATTTGGAACAATCGGCTGTTCTTCTTCTTCTTCCTTTTTTTTTTTTTTTTTTTAGACAGAGTCTTGCTTTGCTCTGTTGCTCTAGCTAGAGTGCCATGGCATCAGCCTCGCTTAAAATCCTGGGCTCAAGCAATCCTCCTGCCTCAGCCTCCGGAGTAGCTGGGACCACAGGCGTGTGCCACCACGCCTGGCTAACTTTTTTCTATTTTTTAGTAGAGACGGGGGTCTTGCTCTTGCTCAGGCTGGTCTCAAACTCCCGACCTCAAGCGATCCTCCCGACTCAGCCTCCCAGGGTGCTAGGATTACAACGGTGCTAGGATTACATGCTGAGCCACCGCACCAGGCCCATTCCTTCTTTCTTGATGTACTTTCTTCACTTCTAGGACACCTCTCTATCCTCATTGGCCATTCTTTCTTGGTCTTCCTCGATCCTCTTCTCCAAGCCTACAATAGCCACTACCCAGGCTTCTCCCTGTTCAGGCTCTCTCTGTTTTATTTTTAGAGGTGGGATCTTGCTTTGTTGCCCAGGCTGGCCTCAAACTTACATATTCAAAAGATCTTCCCACTACAGCCTCCTGAGTAGCTGGCACCACAGACTCATGCCACTGTGCCTGGCTCTCTCCTCGATACGCACTCACATCCAGTATTTTAGTCTTAAATACCACATATGAAAAGAAAGAAGTAAAGTTATTTTGACATGATCACATACTGGAAAACAAAAAACCAACAGAAAAACTACCACAAAGACTAAGAAAACTCAGTAAGTAAACAGGATAAAATCAATAGATGTCCTATATACAAACAACTAGATAGAATATTTAACAGAAAGTGTCACAATAAGAAAGATACATAAGAAGGAATAAATTGTTTAATAGATAAATCTAACAAAAATATGTAAAACCATTGCACGAGTGCAAAATATATATGTATAAAATCTTTATGAGGAAAACCTTAAAATGTTTTCACGAAAAGTTCAACATCCATACATTTTTTTATTATTAATAGCGAAATAGAAATGAAAAGAAATTGATGAAGAGTAGCTACAAAAAGTCTACAGCAAATGTTATACTTAAAGGAAAAACATTAAAACCTTTCCTTTCAGATTGAGAGAATCTGTGACTTCCCATTACCCTACTTCTGTTTACCGTTGCACTAGAGATCCTGGCAAATGCAATGATGCAAGAAAAAAATACGAGGTGTAGTCATGCCCCAGATAGTACATTTTGGTCAACAATTGACTGCCTATGTGATGGTGGTCCCCTAAGATTATAATGAGGCTGAAAAACTCATATCACCTAGTGAAGTCTTAGCCATTGTGGCATCATCATATAGCCACATTACTCACTTGTCTGTGTGTGGTGATGCTAGTGTACACAAATGTACTGCCCTGCCAGTTGTATAAAACTATAGCACATACAGTTATGTGCAGTACATAATACTTCATAATAAACGACTATGTTACTGGTTTATATATTTACTACACTATACTTTTTACCATTATTTTAGGTTTTTTTTTTTACTAACCACTATACAAATGAGGTATTTACTGTTATCTTAGAGTGTACTCCGTGTACTTATTAAAGAAAAAAAAGTCAACCGTAAAACGGCCT